CAAAGGCCAACTGTTCCATCCTTGGATATCTTTCCTCCGCACCCCTAAGTACTCTGCTCACGAAGTATACTGGCCTTTGGACCCCTTCTTCTTCTCGTATCAGAGCTGAACTGATAGCTGTCGTGGAGACTGCAAGGTATATGTATAGTTCCTCTCCCGGTATGGTTCGAGACACTAGTGGGGGAGAACTAAGGTATTGCTTTAGTTCTTTGAACGCCTGCTTACACTCTGGGGTCCATTCCAACGCCTTCCTTAGCACACGAAAGAAAGGTAGACACCTGTCAGTTGACCGAGAGATTAGCCTACTCAAGGCAGCAATCTTCCCTGTTAGTCATTGTAGATCCTTGGTTGATCTTGGCGATCTCATGTCAATGACTGCTCGAATCTTCTCTGGATTGGCCTCAATTCCTTTCTGGAACGAAAGTCCTCCTCTTTTGTCTGACAGGTTTAAAGTCAGGATTTACATTTAAGCGGTGCTCCATGATAGTGGGGTCTATACCCGGCATGTCTTCATGCAAATACGTCTCGATTCTTCCTGAAGAATTGAGTAAGTTAATCTTTGATACCTGGGGGGAGTAAAGACCCTATACTCACTTTTTTCTCAGGCTCATCATCACCAAAGATGACCTCTTCTAGCTCTTCTGTAGGTTCCGCTCTATGAAAGTCTGGTCTATCTTTCCCTTCCAGCCCTTCAATCGTAAATGCCTCTTGCGATTTTGTTTTCTAAGAGAGGCGACATAACATTCGTGAGCTATTGTTTGGTCCCCTCTTAGCTCTCCCATACCATATTCAGTTAGTAAACGCATCAGGAGATGGTAAGTGGACGTGATTGCTTTCATGGCATTCAATGTTGTCCTCCCCAGGATAAAATTATATGATAATGGGCAGTCCACCACTACAAAGTCCACCATTACAGTGACCTGCTTTGGATTGGCTCCTGCAGTAACTGGAAGGGTAACTGCCCCTAGTGGATATACTTTGTCGCCTGAAAATCCCACCAGTGGTGACTTCATGGGTCGGAGCTTCTCTCGGCCAATTTTCAATTTCTCGTATGCCCTAAGAAATAGTATGTCAGCCGAGCTACCATTGTCTATCAGTATTCGTCGAACAGTGAAATTAGCAACAACCATGGAAACTACCAGAGGGTCATCATGGTGCTGGTGAATTCCCTTGTCATCTTCTTCAGAAAAGGTTATGACCGGCTCCTCAACTCGAGGTAATTTTGTTGGAGGACTTGTCATTCCAACTTCATTCACCTCTGAAAAACTCCGAATTCTCCTAGCATGAGCCCTCCGAGCCGAACTTGTCTCACCACCACCAGCGAAGCCACCCGATATAACTTTGATCTCACCCATTGGTTGGTGTTGAGGAGGGTGATCATCTCAGCCCTCCCGGGCTGGGTTGGAGCCTCCTTTTCCATTTCTAGTTGTGAATTTACGTAAATGACCTTTACGAACAAGGTTCTCGATCTGGTTTTTGAGGTCGAAACAATCTTCTGTGTTATGTCCATGGTCCCGGTGAAACCTACAGTATTTACTTAGAGACCTCTTTGTTGGATCAGTTTTTAGCTTTGGCGGCCATTTCAATGATGCGTCATCTTGAATCTGCAGAAAGACTGGCTCTACAGATGTATTTAGGGGGTATAGTTATTATACCTGCCTGGGCTCACTGGGCGGCAAGACGATCTGTCAGCCTGATTGTTTGAGAATTTCTTGTACTTCGATTCCTTTTCCACCCTAGTGTTAGGTGCTGGCCTCTTCTTCTCCGATCTCTTATCTTCACCATCTTTGTTTTTTCGTGCATTCATAGCATCCTCAGCGTTCATGTGCTTCACGCTCTAACCATCAACTCTGTCATGCTTGTAGGGGCTTCTTTTGATAAGGAAAATAGGAACTTAGAAATCTGTAGTCCTCCCATAAAGGCTGTGAGGGCAACCTTGTCGTCCACCTCTTCTACCTGCAGCATATCAGCGTTAAAACGACTTATGTAACCACGGAGAGGCTTTCCCTTTTGCTATTTCACATTCAATAAGTGTGTTGCTGTCTCCTATGCCTCTGCCCAGCGATGAAGTGTCCAATGAATTGTTTGCTCAACTCATTAAAGATTTCAATGGAGCCTGGCTTTAATTTATTGAACCAAGGACGAGCCCAACCTTTTAGTGTGGTAGGGAAAGCCCTGCACATAATCTCATCCGGTACGACTTGCAAATACATAAGAGCTTTGTAGGTCTCCAAATGATCGAGAGGGTCCCGCGTCCCATCGGAGCTCTCAAGAGTTGGCTGTAGGTCTCCAAATGATCGAGAGGGTCCGCGTCCCATCGAAGCTCTCAAGAGTTGGCATATTAAATTTGCTAGGTAGAGGACAACTCATAACATAACAGCAAGGCTAAATGCTAGGTTGGTCTTCTGTACCAGATCGTTCACTGTGGCCTGGCCCTTCCCTTTCATTGCTTGCATGACGTCTTTGACCCTAGTTCTCAGATCTTGCATCTACAGATTGAAATAAGTGACGTCTTCAGTCTTGTCACCAACACAACCAGAGGTACCTGCACGGAGCCTGGTATTATTCCGTTCAAGAGACCGATGGTGATGGCTTCTCTGTTGACCCCCTATTTGACTAAGCTCAGCGTCGTTGTCAATCCTACGGGAGTCATTCTTGGGTACTTCATTATTCTCCACCTCATTAAGGGCGGCTAAGCGTTGTAGAATCATTGAATTTTTCTGGACTAATTGGTTTATTCCCTTATTTAGGGTTTAAACTTGTTGTTCCAACGCTGTGATGCGTTCCTGATCGTTTGGGACAACGGGGGGTTGCCTCGTCGAGTCCCCTTGATCAGAAGTTTGCAACGCTTCGTATTCGCCAGCAACCAGACCAGATCGCAATCGAACCATACTTTATTTAGAGAACTAAAATCGTTCCCACAGACGGCGCCAACTGTTGATGATGGATTCTACGCAACCTGGATCTGATCTGACTTCCTGAATAAACAGAAGAAAAAGTGATCCTACGAACACCAGTGTGTTACCGGTGGAGTAGGCTCCGACGAACAAGTCAGTGTGAATGATAATCTCCCTGGAGAAATCGAGAAATTGAGTTAGGGTTTATTGCGTACCTCAAAACGTTGATTCCCCCGCCTTTTTTATAGGGCTTAAGTTAAGATGTCACGTAGAATTACCTTATTGTAATCTGTAGACTTAATCCTTATCGTAATCTTTAATCCTTATCACAATCTTTAATCCTTATCGTAATCTGTAAAGCCTATCTCAATCTGTAATCCTTATCGAAATTTGTAGAGCTTATCTCAATAGTGCGTTAATTTAGTAATCTTCCTTTAATTATGGATATTTAAATTATACATCCATCAAGCATTATGCTTGATGTGGCATTAGCTTTGGAGTATCTCAATCAAGGTCAATTAGAGCCTATTGTCCACTGTGATTTGAAGCCTGGCAATGTCCTTTTAGATGAAGACATGGTCGCGCATGTTGGTGATTTTGGCATTGCAAAGATATTAGCTGAAAATAAGACTACAACACAAACGGAGACTTTAGGTACAGTCGGCTACATTGCACCAGGTAATTTTTTTTTTACCTTATTCACCATGCTTTCTGTGCGTAACTTCCTTTTTCATTTTTATTTATTCAAAATTTTTAGCATATCCAATTTTATATGTATGGAAACTCAGACCCTTGCTACATTATTATTATTATATTTTTGAAAAAAATTATCCCTAGTATGATTGCATTCAAATGATCAATTACAAATCTATGTATTTTCTTTTTTGTTTAATTAATGATTAGGAATATATGATAAACAATCACGATATGAATTTTGATCAAGCTTGAATAAAATGAATGTTTGACAGAGTACGGTTCAGAAGGAAAAGTGTCCACTAAAGGTGATATCTATAGTTATGGAATAATGTTGTTGGAGACATTCACAAGAAAAAAACCCTAGAAATGAAATATTCATTGAAGAATTAAGTCTGAGGCAATGGGTGAGTGCATCACATCCCCACAAAATAATAGAAGTCATTGACAGAGGTTTGTCGACAACAGGAGGAGATGAAATGAGTTCCACACAAGGCATTTTTGTATCGATTATTGAACTAGGGTTGGAGTGTTCTAGAGAATTACCCGAAGAAATGAGTGACATAAAAGAAATTGTGGCTAAACTGAATAAGATCAAATTGCAACTGCTTTCCAACTAAGGTTTCATGATGTGTGCTTCCGTTTTTACCATGCTCAAGTTTATGTTTTTAATTCCACAAATTGGTGTTGTGTATAGCTCTAGTGAAAATGTATGGTTTGTTTTTGTTGTTCACTTGTTGCCTAGCTTGCTAGCAGGCATTCTTAGTTCTTTTTTTTCTCAGTTTTGGTTGTTGGGACATATTATCTTGTAATATACCTTTTGTTTTTCTTTCCTGTGTTGATTGAATCCATAATCTTTCCTCCTAAGTGAACACTTGAATAACTTCAAGTAGAAAAACCTTCTTGAATACCGGAAGGAGGAATTATTATAGATTATCCCTTCTCATCTTAAATAGGGAGGAGGAATTATTCAAAGCTTGCTATGGTTCCATTACACACATTTTGTGGGAGAGATGCAAGAAATACATTCACCTCTCAAATTCAATTGAACACGCATACCAACAAGCTTGTGGTCTAACGGTACAAGGCTCCTACTTCTCAAAGAGAGGTCAAGGGTTCGAATCTCAGTGGAGGCAGCGTGTGTGAGTCCCAACTAGGGGGAAAAAAAAAAAAATTGAACACGCATATAGGCAATATAATTTTAAAGCATAGTAATTCTGAAAAGAGGACAATAGGAAAAGAATGACCATAGGGAAAGCAAGGACAAGAAGAATAGAAAATTTCAGCTAAACCATATATCCTAGATTGCCAAAATTCGCTGAATATACAAGAATTGTTATTGGGGTTGCCCATTTTTTTGAAAGGACTTTAAAATCATGAAATGGCAGCCCGATTCTCACATATCCTAGATTGTCAAAATTCGCTGAATATACAAGAATTGTTATTGGGGTTGCCCATTTTTTTGAAAGGACTTTAAAATCATGAAATGGCAGCCTGATTCTCACATATTCTGTCAACTCCTGTATTACGACAATTTCAAGTTCATATCAATGGTGACTAGAAAATCTCCCATAAGATATTCCAGTTATAACAGACTCGAAGTTACAACAATCTTATTCTGAAGCCTCGAGATGAAATAATATTTAGATAGTTCATTAATAAGAAGCGAAATTCACTTCCTTTAATTTCTGCAAAATCTGACACAGAAAGATATTCATTGAGATGTCCCAAAAAGTGTGAGACAGTCGGATAATAGTTTCATTTACAGCAGCTAGCTGCAGAAGTAGCCGAAATGACTGTTGAAATAAGAACGCCCTGCAATTCATATTCCCGAATCAAGTATCAGAGATATTTCTTTTTCCAAGGTGATTGAGGCAAACAAGACATAAGAATTCTTGCAAGATGATGCAATGAATAAAATTAAAGCGCTATACAACTATCCAAATGAATTTACATTGATAGAAGAAGTGTTTACTGAATCTGAAGATACAAGTTAAGATCATTTTTAAACAAATGTATTTCATTACCTATTGAAATCATAGAAGATACAGCTAGCAATTTTTGTCATATAAATGCATAGAATGGATATATAAATATTACTATCTTATGTCTAGTAACTAAAATATAATAATAATAAAAGTGATCAAATATCTCCTATCAAATTTGTCTTTTTGAGAATAAAAATCATCTATTAACAAATCAACCAACTATCTTGAAAACTTGTCTATCAATTAATTAGTATCATCACAACAAATGTAAATAAAAAACATAACATAAAACACACCAAATAAAAAACATCGAAGTCATCCAAAAGTTAACAAGCTCATAGCACCAAGATCTTATAGATTTTAACAAAACACATGGAGAAACACATTGATACAACTCGATTTTAGCCAATTTATTCATCAACTGAGCTTGAACATTTGATGACATCTTAATCATAAAATGAACCAGTTTAACGATTACCAAACATAAAAAAGAGAATTTATAACTTAAGCCAACATATGCACATCCCTCAATTTTGAGACTTTTCAAGAACTCAGAATTGAGTTTTTGGAGATACAATTGTTGCAACCAAGTTTAACGATTACCAAACTTAAGATACTAGAATTGTGTCTATGCTAGGTCCAATAAATCTACAAAATAATTAGGTTAATTTAGTAGCAAGTCAAGTGACCAAGTGATTAAACGATTGCTTTCAGGTTTTACTGCTTGAGGATTTGTGAATTCTTTAAAAGGGATTTCCTCCTAGAGGGTAGGTCAGAGGTCAGTGTGGAACTTTATAAAGAAGAAGATTAATAACAAAAATATAGCTAAAATGGGAGGGAAGAACACCATCTATAACTGAATAAGTGGATATAGTCAATCTTCAAGGCCAACTACAAAAATTTGACGAGTAGAATGCATATATATTAAAAGAAGAGAAGAGCCATGTATGAGACTATAGAAAAAAAACACGAGCTTGCTTTGCTTATCTCATAGAAAGGAGGGAGTGGGTTCTGGTTCTGTTGCGATATGGGCAAGGGCAATGTTGGGCCGGTAGTCACCTCCATCCTCCAAGCACCATTTTTCAAGAAGTGGAAATTGTTGATTACAAAACTGTGAAGGACTCCAGACATGGAATGTATTGAACAAAATTTGGGCCACGTAACAAATCTCCACCTTAGCTCAAATTACACCAAGTTCCACAATCTCTAGCTACTCATTTTGCATCCTTCACATGCCCCTAAGTGCCTCAGCAACTGCAGACACCAATCAAGTCCACACAGTGTCTTAACTTAATAGTAGGAATGACCTTAGTCATCATATCCTCCAGATTCTCTGTTGTTCTAATTTTTCTCACTGCAATAACACCCCGTGCAATCACATCTCTGATGAAGTGCAACCTGACATCAATGTGCTTGCTCCTCTCATGGAACATATGAGTTTTAGTCAGAAGTTTGGTACTCTGGTTGTCGCAAAACACAATTAAATCATCATGTTGCAAGCCTAAATCACCAACCAAACTTTTCAGCCATATAGCTTCCTTCACTGCCTCTGTAACTGCCATGTACTCAACCTCAATAGTAGACAGTGCAACTATGGACTGCAAAGTCGTCTTCTCACAAAGAGTAAAGATATACCATGTCAAGGACCTCTTCCTATCAAAATCTCCAGCGTAATCCGAATCAACGTATCCAAAAACACTCTCACACGTGTCACTGCCTCGTTCATAGTACTATGCCAACATCTACAATGCCTTACAAGTACCGCAATATCCACTTTACACCTGCCAATGGACCTACCCAAGTCTATCCACGTATCTGCTGACTACACTCACTGCATCTGAAATGATTGGCCTAGTGCATACCAAAACATACATCATGCTACCAACTACACTAGCATAAGGAACACGAGACATGTGCTCCACCTCCTCCTCGGTCTTTGGTGACAATCCTGCCAAAAGTCTGAATGGAGTACACATAGGCTTTGATGCTTGTGTACTTCCGTTTTGCACATTCTCTATCCTAGCTTGTTCAAGAGTTTTAACTTCTGGTTTATAAGTTAGTCACTGAAGAATTACTTCGGAAGCCTTATCTTTTATGATATTAATATGATTTTCTGTTTCTATATTGTCCAATAATTCAATCTTGCATATGGCTCGCGTACTAGATCACTTGAACGATACTTGAGTCTAGAGCAATTGAATAGAAATGACACTAAAGTAACTGAGTCTAGAGCAATTGAATCAATGAAAAATCTGTCACAGATCCCTACAAGATATAGGAATTACACAATATGAATACAGAATATATATAAGATACAAAATCTGTAAGAATGCGAAAATATATACAATATATATATGTGTGTGTGTATATAAGATACGTAACGGTAAGAATGAGAAAACATATAACATTAAATATATATAATAAAGATTGATGAAGCACTTTGTTGGTGTTTGGAGAAGTTCAGCAACTGGGGCGGATCATTTGGTTTTTAACAGTAGTCTTGTGAGAAATGTGAAGTTTTATGATGGGGGTCAGTAATTAAGATGATTCCATCTTGTCTTGCATAGAATTTATAATTTATTTTGTTCTCCTTAATTTTGTATGTGTTTTATAAAATGATCCCATCTTTGTTTTGGTGATTCTGTAGTTAATTACATTTTGAAGAACAAATTGCATGCTCACTAAGTTTAGGACTTGGTGTCGGTCTGTTGGTAATTTCAGTGTTGAAGACTTAATCAAGTTGTAACATTCATTGAGTCTTGAGGTCTTTTGATAAACCAGTTTAACAATTAAAATTGAGCATATTAAGTGGATTTGTAATTAAGTGCATTTGACAAAGAAATTTTGGTGTCACTAAAAAATATATTTCAGTTGAGATGAGTCAATTTTCAAGTGAATGAAACTTCATAATTGAATTTGCTCAATGATGATTTGTTTAAAGTTTTCAATAAACTGAACAAATTTCCCTTGAGAGAACGAGAAGAAAATGCAACTTCTTATAATCTTCAGCACCTAAATTTCAATTTTATAAAACAAAACTCAACTATTGTCCTTGATAGAGTTGACGAAAACGTTTTCAAAAATATTAAATAAATAAATAAATAAAAAAGAACAAAAACAAAACACTCTGATTCGATGAATGCACACATTGTGATAATAAAATTGTTTTGAAAAGGACATCGATTTTTGATCCAGTTTTTCTCACATCATGCTTAATAGCGAGTTGTGCAATGGTATATGTGGTTTATTCATTGACACATTATATACAGGGTTTTTCATAATTAAAGTATTTTTAAACAATATTGTTTATAGTACTCTAAGAAGCACGGACACGGATACGGGACACGAATACGACATGACACCGACACGGCGACACAGCAAATCCAAAAAAATTAGGACACGGACACGGCGAATAATATATATATATATATATGATGTAGTACTTTAAAAATTACTAAGTGAAACTATTTTTCATCAACCTCACAATGAAAAAAAAAAACACCAATCGTAACTCATAACTAATAAACTATAAAAGAACAATGTTGCAGAATTATAAAACCAAATAAAAAATAAGACATTAGAATAATAACTAGTATCATTTAATCATCATTGCAACTTTACTCCAAATACAAAAGCATAGACAGAAAGGACTATTAACATTCATGACTTTACTGTTAGCACTTAACATTTACAAACACCTAAAGGCTAGTCCCCAAAAAAGATACAAAAACAAATCAGTGTATTATCATCTATTCCCATCCATCATTTGACCTAGGACTTTTACCATTTACAATACCAAAAGGGTAGTACAAAACAAAAAAAAAAAAAAAAAAAAGAACATATCAGCATTAAAAAAAAAAATTCAAGAAGTGTCCATGCCGTGTCCGCGTCCTCGGAGTGTCCGTGCCGTGTCCGAAAATTCAAAAAAAAAAAAAAAAAATTCCAGACACGTTTTTTGGCGTGTCCGACACGTGTCGGGGCGTGTCTGACGCGTGTCCATGTCCAACACGTGTCGGACACGGATTCTTCGCCCATTTTGGAGTGTCCGTGCTTCCTAGATAGCACTTCTATTACTAATTTTACAACACTACTTTTTTGATGGAGTGTTACTATATTTGATAATAAGAAGACTTTAAAAAGAAGGGGCAAATTGTCTTCATAGAAAATAAAAAATAAAAAAATAAAATTGTCTAAAAGAAACTTATAGAAACATTACTCAGAACTTTGTAAAAATAAAAAATAAAATAAAATAAAAAATCAAAACTTTTGTTTATACTGTTTAAAAATAGTTATTTTGTAAATAAGCTCAAAGAGAGAGAGAAAAAAAAAAAAAAAAAAAAAAAAAAAAAAAAAAAAAAAAAAAAAAAAAAAAAGAAAAAGAAAAAAGAAAAAAAAGAAGAATAAGAAGAATAAGAAGAAATTATACTAACATCCCCTTGTCTTCAATAAATATACACGAACCTTTATCACCACACATTTTCATTATGTAGTGATTACCAGAAAAATATGTTAACTTATATGCTAATCTCTATGTACAAGTCTTTGGAGCTGTGGGAAGAAAGGGAAACTAAAGTGTTATGATACCAAGATGGCAAAAATGCCAATAAGAACAATAATATCATACATGCTAATTTTTTTAGTTCTCACTTGATAAATGACAAATTCTACATCTAATACTTGTATAAGTTATTAAAGTGCTTCTCCATTTTGTTCCTAATAATCATATTTTATTAAAGCTTGCAAGATTTTATTTAGTTGAAATGGGACATTTACATTTTTGGGATGACATTTGGTGTGGGGATCGGTCCCTTGCTGTCACTTTCCCTG